TATATATAAAAAATATTTTTGATATACCCTGTATATATATATATATATATATATATATATATATATATATATATATATATATATATATATATACAGGGTATATCAAAAAACTTTTTACAAAGTTTGGGGCGGGTTCCTTACACCAAAACAATGACATATAAACATATGTTCAAAAACATTTTTTTGAGTTATTAAGTTTAAAGTAAGTTAAAAGTTTAAAGTACGATAGATGGCGTTATGTTGCCCTTTAGACTAGGTTACATTTGACATTCGTGTACATTTGTGGTTAGTCTGTCTTTAATGTTTAACATGTGTAGTAGTGACTTAACTGAGAAGCGTTCCGTTTAACAATGGCAGAATAGTCATATCGTGAGCAGGCAGATATGATTTTTATATATGGCCTTGTGAATAATAATGGAGGCGAGGTAACACGTATCAGACTGCGCTTCCAGATCGTAGGCAGCCGAGTCTCTTCTTTCTATGTGTCATGTCCTTTCAGGACGTAGGCGATCATGGTTCTCCACCTCCCTCTATCCCTTGCGACGCACAACGTTCCTTCCCTCTGTTAACTCCCCTAGACCACGTTCTGTCATCCACCTGCTTAAGGCCGCTAGGTATCTCTTGCGTTTTTTTCTTTTGTCTCTCTTTCTCTCTATTCGACCCGTGAGTATCAGATTCTCCAGGTCCTCCTTCCTCATTGAGTGCCCCAGAAACTTCAGCTGCCTAATGTTAAGTATAAGCCTCCTCCTTGTTTTCATCTTCTCTAAGACCGCATCGTTGCTCACACGCTCGCTCCATGATAACCTTAGCATTGTTCTGTAGAACCACATCTCCGTCGCCTCGAGTCTCTTCTTCATCTTTGAGGAAATCGTCCAATATTCGCTGCCGTAAAGAAGGACAGAGGCCACGTAACAGCTCTGTTACCAAAGAAATCCTCCTGTCTTGCAATACTCTGCCCAGCTTTTGGGATGCGTCCTTGGCCATCCGAATACGTTACGGATCTCAGTGTCGCATTTACTCTCCTCTCTCAAAATGCTTCCCAGATATTTAAACTTCTGCGTCTGTTTGATTCTAGTGTTCCCGACCTTCGAATCGCATTTCGGGCTCATCCTTTTACTGATGACCATGCATTCTGTCTTCTTGTAGTTTATGTTTAGTCCCTTCATCTCTCTTTCCGTTGATACCTTCTTCAGGAGATTTTGTAATTTTTTTACCGTTCCTGCTATCAGTACTGTGTCATCTGCATATCTTATGTTATTAAAATTGTGGCCGCCAATGCTAAGTCCCAGTAAGGTTTTCATTTCTCTCAGAATTCCCTTGCTGTATAGGTTGAACATGTCGGGTGAGACGACGCATCCTTGCCTTACACCCCTTTCCATTTTTGTATATTCACTGAACTAGTTTTCTATGCGCCAGGCGAGGATATTTTGACCATTTGTTATGTGTTGCTGTGTAGAGGTACAACGATGGCCTTTTGGGCATATGTTTATATGGATATGTTACCTTGTAAAAACCCGCTTCAAAGCTTGTAAAAGTATTTTTGATACGCCCTCTCTCTCTCTATATATATATATATATTGAGAGAGATAGATATTGATAATATATATATATATATATATATATTTACGATTCCAATGGAATAAATTATGACCATAGAATATTAGTGTTTAAGCCTTTTTATTATATCCTTACTCTGTCCTGGACATTGAGTTCTGCCTGGATTCTACCTCTTGGAATTTTTTCATAAAAATATACATGCATGGGTATTTATATATTTTGTATATGTATGTATATTTTCCACTAATATTATCTATCTATATATATATATATATATATATATATATATATATATATATATTCAAGAGAAAAAAATACAGGTAGAGCTCTATGTCAAAGACAGAGCAAGAATATAATATAAAAGGCTCAGACACTACTATTTCATGGTTATAATTTTTTACATTGGAATCGTAAACACGACCCAAGTAAATACCTAAAGAGCCAGACTAACCTACCTAGGTTTCACCTACGCGGATCTTCATGGCGGACTGGCTAAAGAGGTGCTATAAGAACAGAAAATTTATAGCCTACAACACAAAAACACCCCGTCGTTGTGTTACTGCTTTTTTTTGTCACATGGTCATGTTTTTGTGTTATAGGCTATATATGTTCTTATAGCACCTCTTTAGCCAGTCCGCCATGACGATCCGCGTAGGTGAAACCTAGGTAGGTTTGTCTGGCTCTTTAGGTTTACCTAGTTTGCTCTACTTAGCGTATTGAGCACTTTGTTTAGTTATTTTACTTTACTCGTGTCGGAGTTTTATTTTTCTTTAGACTTAGATTCTAGAAGATTATTTTGGTCGGAAGTACATGTTCTTAGTTCTTTTCTTTTTTCCGCCTTTTTTCCCCTTGGGTATTAGTTTGTTCATTCACAAGCTAAAACCCCTAAGGTTTTGCCGGACGAGTATAGCTGCTTACATTTATAAGTTTATTAGTGTTATATATATATATATATATATATATATATATATATATATATATATATATATATATATATATATACAAATATAGGTAACTATACTGTTTCGAATACCTTCGAAATTTTGATTTGCCAATAATCAAATCAATCTCGAGGGAAAAAAAAAAAAGTTTAAAAAAAGAAAAGAGCTAGAAACATGAAAGTCTGTCGGAAAAAATCGCACAGATGCAGGTTTAAAGCCCAAAGAAAAAAACCCGACACGTGTAAACAACTAACTAAAAGAGCTCAATACAACCATAGAGCAGACTTAGATAAACCTAGTGAACCAGACAAACCTACCCAGGTTTCATCTAAACGGATCGTCAGGGAAAGCTGGTAGGTTTGTCTGGCTCACTAGGTTTATCTATCTATCTATCTATCTCTCTCTCTCTCTCTCTCTCTATATATATATATATATATATATATATATATATATATATGTAAGAATTAAAATCTAAAACGACAATGGGGTGTCTTGAAAGATCTTGTATAATCAGTTTTGTAGATGAATTAACTATCTAGGACAATGTGACACAAAAGCGAAGGTGCATAGGAATAGGGAAATTGCCTTCCAGACACTAAGTAAAGTATCAAGACATAGAAAAATATCTTTAGAAACAAAGAAGAGTGCCGTACTGATGTTTTAATATCTGTTCTCGTGAATGGCAGTCAAAGTTTTTATACATTTCACAAGAAAGGAAAGTATAAAAGGAAACTGGCAATATTGTCATCACAATTAAACTGGCAAACAAGGTAACTGTAAATCGCGTAACTGTATGAACATACAATCCTTATTTATATATAGGCGAACGTTCGCTTTCCGACCATGAAACGCGAGTTCGAATCTCACCATTGTTGATTTTTCAGGACGAAGACTTCGTGATTTTATCGGGAGGTGATCTTTGGAAAGTGCCTGAAAACGGTTTAAGTGAAATTGGGTAGGCTATCGATAGTTATGCTAGCACGGAGGCACAAGTCAGTGTGAACGAAGGTTTGAGCATACTGGCGGTGTTCATCTCTCTCTCTCTCTCTCTCTCTCTCTCTCTCTCTCACTCTGAAAATTGTGACTGAGGTGCGCTAGTTGAAGTATGAACAGCAGGTTTGTCTGTGGATGTTTAGCAGACAAAGAATGTGTCTAAACAGATGTCTGTGACAAGGATTGGCTAGCCACCTCAGCAGACGGAAAACGTATTATTTATATATATTTAGTTGTTTGGAAAGTCATATCGCATTTTCATGAATTATTTTGGTTAGTCGTTTTAGTTTAGTGGCATATCAACATCTCTGTGGGTTATTTAATACCGAAATCTGAATATTTTCTCTACACAATTTTATTTTATTTTTGATGGCAATAATGATTGAGTGATACAAGTCTTACTAATTAACTCATAGGTGGGGGAGAAAAGGCGGATTCATTTCAATATAACGGCGGAGTAATGTATATATCGTCTGGGATTGAGGAATCGGAGAGCCGAGTTCGAATTCCAGTCGGATCCATTACATTCACTTAGGTGCTAATACCCTTGGGAAAGGTATGAATCCTCTTCTTCTCCTCCAGTTATGGGTAAAATAGCAGGACAGACCAGGTTCTGTAGACTTGGATGGCAACCGGTCTAGGAGAAGGAAACTCTGAAGAGGGATTAGTTCCGTGTTACCCAAGGAACACCACTTCTAGTGCGGCTACAGTACATGTGGTGCCCTAAACGAACCGAATGGGTCACGGGATTCGGGATCGTGATTATGAATATAACGGACCTGACTGGAATTGAAACTCAGCTCTCCGATTAACAATTATCCTTTACACCACTTGCACATCCAACCTTACATCACCTGATGTACGCAAGCGGTCACTCATCTAGGTACTAACCAGGCTCGACATTGCTTAACTTCGGTGATCGTACGGGAAAGTGCAATTATCTTGTAATTTACTTATCAATGCCATACTCAAAGGCAATTTTCTATTCTTGACCTAGGATTTGGCACACAAAACTCAACACCTTATTAAAAAAAAAATGGGAAAATACAATAAAACAATTTAACAGACAGACCTTGTTTGGAATAATACATTGTTGATTAATAGGCCACATCATGTTGAAATACCGCTTCCATACGAAAACCAAAGTTAAGCAACGTCTAGCTTGATCAGTACCGAGATGGGTAACCGTTTCGGAATACTAGGTGCTGTAAGATTGGGTGTGCGAGTAGTGTAATGGATAATGGCTCGGAATTGTTAATCAGAGAGACGAGTTAAGCAACACCGAGACTGTTCAGTACCTAGATGGGTGACCGTTTCGGAATACCAGGTGCTGTAAGCTTCGATGTGCGCTTGGTGCAATGGATAATGGCTCGGAATTGTTATGAGTTGCAATATGGGCGAACGTTCGCTTTCCGACCATGAGAAGCGAGTTCGAATCTCACCATGGTTGATTTGTCAGGAAGAAGACTTCGTGACAATTCCTGTTGGGTTGCGTTGTATTTACTTACGCGCAAATACCTTTGGAAAAGGCATGAAACCATCTCTTCTCCCCTCAGCTATGGGTTAGCTAGTAAGATTTGTGTCGATAAACCATTATTACCGCCTCCCACCAAAAAAAAAAAAAAAAAATTCTTACAATCTAAAAATATTTCCTTAGTTTAAATAACCCGAAAAGGGTTGATAAGCCATAAAAAAAAACGAATCCATTTTAGATTCATCGTAGATTATTGCAGGTGTAGTGAGTTCGGTTCCAACCGGCTGCTATATTAAGTTTTATAAATATCTAAACATGATTGCAAAAAAGACAGTCTTTCCATCTCATGTTTTGATCATTTCTTTCTTGTTAAGGTACCGCCGTTCGACTCTGTTTATTATATAATCAGCTTACATCTTTGATTCTTGTCTATCGATCTATACATACATACATACATATATGTTAGCCTTTTATCTCTCACCTGATTATTAGATGAATTTGCCCTTGGCATGTCAAGTTCACGGAAAATCCAAATATCATTTTATCCAGCGCTGGATAAATTAATATCGACACTTTAACTGTGCTTGATTTACGCACGTGAGCATAAACACGCACACACACGCACACACACACACACACACATGCGCGCGCGCGCACATACACACAGACGCAAACAGTTTCACTCTAACGCACACACATACACATGAACATTTTGAATATTTTGGGTGGGAGTTTTGTCAATTTATTTCTCTTTTAGTTAGAACGGCACAATAGATTATCTTGTGCTAGATTTGAATTAAATATGTTTCTGTGTTCGTTACTTCTCATTCACAAATGGCCAAATAAATTTCAATCTCTTCCTTCCTTCCTTCCTTCCTTCCTTCCTTCCTTCCTTCCTTCCTTCCTTCCTTCCTTCCTTCCCCCCTTCCTTCATGCTTTCCTTCCTTCCCTCAATCCTTCTTGGGGCAGCAGATCATTATTCAAGCATATTGTTAATTATAACAAACACAAAAGACATTCGTTGTCTGTAATATTTAACAATATGTTTGACTATATATATATATATATATATATATATATATATGCGCGGTATTTAGTGGGAAGAGCTCTATATCCGTGTTAGAGCTAACATATGCTTATATATATATATATATATATATATATATATATATATATATATATATATATATATACAGTGTAACCCGGATATAACAGAGTTGTCGGGACCGGAGAAGAAGTCTCTTATATCCGGGTTTCTCTTATATCCGTGTTTGGTCTATTTTGTTTAGGTAAGTATGGGAACACTTTGGGACCAGAGAAAATATCTCTTATGTCCGGGTTTCTTTTATATCCGGGTCTCTTATATCCGGATTACACTGTATATATATATATATATATATATATATATATATAATATTTATGCTTTGTAAATTTACATTGAGCACTGTTTTGTAAAAATAAAAATATCAATAAGAACACCGGATTACATATCTTACTGTTCTTCCTTTTCTTACTATAATACACACACACACACACTCTCTCTTTCTCTCTCTCTCTCTCTCTCTCTCTCTGTGGACTCTTTTATAACTCTCTGAGAACACCCTGTGTCTGTCTCCGTATCTCTCAACCTGTCTCAACGTATCTCCACGTATCTCAACGTATCTTCACGTATCTCAACCTATCTCGATATTTAACAGTCCATCCACGAGGAATGTATGGGACACAAGGCCGAGTTTAACGTGAGCTCATAGGCTCAGCCAAAATATATCCCCTTTGAACCCGCGTAAGCGGGTTCGTGATCTGTCTACCTCCCCGGACGAAACTTTGCCCTTCGGCAAAGCTTCGACCGGGTTCCTCTCTGCCAAAGCAGAGAGTTCGACAGACGTCGCAAACAGTCAGAGACTCCGTCTCAACGTATCTCGGTATTTAATATCCCACCCACGAGGAATATATGTGGCACAAGGCCGAGTTTAAAGTGGGTTTCTCCGAGCCCGTAGGCTCGGCCAAAAATATACCCTTTGAACCCGCCTAGACGGGTTCAGGGCCTATCTACCTCCCCGGACGAAACCTTGCCCTTCGGCAAAGCCTCGTCCGGCTTCCTCTCTGCCAAAGCAGAGAGTTCGACAGACGTCTAGACTGTATCTCAACGTATCTCAACGTCAGGTATTCTCTCTGTCAGTATACTTTGGACGAGTCCATCTTATGTAAAAAGGGGAGAGCCCCACAACAATAAATGAAAAGGCCAGATATAAGCAAGCGTGTACACGTCTGCTGGTGTTTTTTCACTCCTTTCACATTTCGCTAATTTTTAAAAAACGTAACTCGCCAGCATCGTATTTAACACACTTGTATGCAACTTTATTTTTTGTGCTAGGTAGCAATGAAACTTCCATGAGCCATTTGCTTACTTTTAACAGCATAGAGCCTGTGTCCGACGAGCTGGGAACCACCCAGCGAAACTATAGTCGCACAGTATATTTACTCGACTCTCCCGTCGAATTCGATGTATGAGGATCAAGCAGATCAGTTCCTGTTCCTAGGAACCGACAGCCCGACACCAGCACATGAGATTTGAATTCAGAGTTGTCCTTCTCCTAGAACAGTTGCCATCCAAGTCTGTCCTGCTATTTACCCATAGCTGGAGGGAGAAGATGATGATTCATACCTTAAAATACGTAAGTGAATGAAATGAATTCAAATGGAATTCGAACTCGGCTCCTCAATCCAACCAGCTAACTATTACTCCACCGTGCCTCCGTATACTACTAATATATATATATATATATATATATATATATATATATATATATATATATATATATATATATATATATATATATATATATATATATATATATATATATATATGGTTGATTGATGTGAGTTTGTGACCCTAGGTTTCACCACGTATATATTATATAAATAATTATATATATATATATTTATTTATATTTATATACACACATTATTCACACACATATATATATATACTTTGGTTTCAACCTTACGGTATCCTCAAGCGATAGTATGTACTGAGGGTACTTTTAAACATAGATGGTACTATCATAGGCCATCATTCACGCTCGTAAGCCTGAGGTGCTCTACCAAACTAACTAACCATGTGTGGAATTTAAAAGAAAAAAGACCAGGTATCTGATTTTCATCTGCAAAATTTAAAAAAATGGCGAAGCCTTATAATAACCACAATAATATTTCCAACCTCTGCCAACAGGAAATTTAGCAATAATGAGATTTCCGGATCCAAAGAAGTCCTTGCATGCATACTAAAAAAAAAATCCTCGTAAGCACCTATGAGGCTGGATAAAAAAAAGAAGAAAAATGTACATTTCAATTAAACCCCTTCACCCATACATTTATAATACCCTTTCTTCTTCTTCTTCTTCTTCTTCTTCTTCTTCTTCTTCTTCTTCTTCTTCTTCTTTATATTACATCCAACGTTTGAAAAATAATATAAATAATATAGTGTTCATAATATAGTATTATTTTTTTTTGAAAGAGCGTTGGGAGGTTAAATGATAAAAATCACCTGAGGATACCGTAAGGTAGTGGATTCAACTGATCTCCAAATTTTTAACTAATCTCTTAATTTTTAAGTAATCTCCCAATTTTTAAGTAATCTCCTAATTTTTAAGTAATCTCCTAATTTTTAACTAATCTCCTAATTTTTAAATGATCTAATTTTTAACTAATCTCCAAATTTTTAACTGATCTCCAAATTTTTAACTAATCTCCTAATTTTTAACTAATCTTCTAATTTTTTAACTAATCTCCTAATTTTTAACTGATCTCCAAATTTTTAACTAATCTCCTAATTCTTAAATGATCTAATTTTTAACTAATCTCCAAATTTTTGACTAATCTCCCAATTTTTAACTCATCTCCTAATTTTTAACTGATCTCCTAATTTTTAAATGATCTAATTTTTAACTAATCTTCTAATTTTTAACTGATCTCCAAATTTTTAACTAATCTCCTAATTTTTAACTGATCTCCTAATTTTTAACTAATCTTCTAATTTTTAACTGATCTCCAAATTTTTAACTAATCTCCTAATTTTTAACTGATCTCCTAATTTTTAACTAATCTCCTAATTTTTAACTAATCTCCTAATTTCTAAACGATCTAATTTTTAACTAATCTCCTAATTTTTAACTGATCTCCTAATTTTTAACTAATCTCCTAATTTTTAACTAATCTCCTAATTTCTAAACGATCTAATTTTTAACTAATCTCCTAATTTTTAACTAATCTCCTAATTTCTAAACGATCTAATTTTTAACTAATCTCCTAATTTTTAACTGATCTTATAATTTTTAAAGTTAAAATCTCTACATCTTATTTTTTTATTTTTTTCAATTTTCCAATTTTTTCACACGTGTATTGAGTACTTTTCAATATTACTGTTTCCTGACCTCATTCAACTCTATTAACCTTTTATGTATTATATACATATGGCAAATATTATTGAAGACAATAGATATTTTGCGTTGATCAATTTTAACCTGATTAAACCCGTGAAAATTTCCCTATTTTTGTTTAGGTATGCGTTGAAACACCTTTCTCGTACGATTTGGTTAAGCAAAGTCGATGGGTAACCGCTTGGGAATACGAGGCACTGTAAACTTTGTGTGTTGTAATGTGATAAGGGCTCAGAATTGTTATTCGCAAAGCCAAATTCCAATACCCGCTGGTTTCGTTATATTCACTTAGGAGCAAATACCCTTGCGATAGACATGAATCAACCTCTTCTCCTCCATCCACTCCTGTTATGAGTGAATTAAACTTGTATCAGTAAATCATTATGATCTCCAATAAAAATTCTTGCAATCTTAAAATAAGTTTTGGCTTTAAATAACCTGAAAAGAGTTGATAAGCCGTAAAAAACGAGTCAGTCAATCAACAATCAAAAAATGAAACCAAGTAGCATCATTAATGAATCATAGCTAAGAATAGGAAGATCATGAAGGATTGAAATTAAGTTCAAATATATATATATATATATATATATATATATATATATATATATATATATAATTTATTTATAGATGGTTGTTTTTTGCTGTATGATTATTGCTTTAAGGATCATAAGTTTGTTTTTGCTATTTTATTTTGCTAGTATTTTGGTATTATTTTTGAGTAGTTCTCTAATGTTACTCCGACAAGGATTATTCGTAATTTGGAAAAGACGATCATTAAAATTAATTGACACAAAATATCTGTTGTTTTTAATAATATTTGCCTTAAAGAACATATATATTATATATAACAGAATGAACAGAGACAGAATATATATATATATATATATATATATATATATATATATATATATATATATAATTTAATTTAATATATGATTAAAAAATATAATTTTAAGGTATGCTATATTTATGGGTTAAAGTGCTCAATATCAGATATAGAGCGTAGTATGTAAATATATAAGTGGACATTGAGATCAGCCTCCATTGGCAATGGACTGTTAAATGATTAAACTCAATCTTCAGGCGTTGTGTGTTTTGTCTTTTATCGACTATTTATATAGGTTCTCTAATTATTGCTACTCAATAGGCTGTAGAATAATTAGAGACATAACCGTTACCTCCCACCCAATAGACCTACACTTAAAGCACCATTGGCCATCATATATCAATAGGCAAGCCAAAACACATGCCCTGAAGATTGCATTTAATCATGAAACAGTCTGTCACCACTGGTTGTTGACCTCAATGTTGTGTCTTAGAAATGATTAAAGATATCTTACTGGAATTCTCAGAGGCTTTTATAACACTATTAGACTCTACTTTGAGCAATAAGAATGTATAATTACTCTCCAAGCTTAACAGAAAAATCGTGATGAAATCGATCATAAACAAAAATGATATGTTCATCATTTATTAATCATAGCTAAGGATAAGAAGCTCATGAAGGATTGAAATTAAGTATATATATATATATATATATATATATATATATATATATATATATATATATATGTTTGTATGTATGTATGTATGTATGTATTATTCCAGGATCATTTTCCAACTTATTCAAGATGAACTTCGCCCTCTCTAACCTTCTAACTTTCTGTCCTGGAGTAAGAAGGTGCCTCACGCATATCACGCACGATTTCATTTTCAAGTCTTTTTCATTGCTCTTTGGACTGTCATAGTTGAAACACCTCTCTCATATGCCAAACGTCTTATGGATTGATGTGGATCTTTACTAAATGATCCCTCTTCCTGTTCTGACCTCCTGACCCAGATTTCCTCGCTACACATTTTTTTAAATTATTCACCGTTCTCTTGATCGTCTTTGAATTGACTTTAAAGACAGAAGCCAGAGTATGAATGTTGGCACCATTATGAAAGGCCTGAATGATCTTTTTCCTCTCACTATTGTTCATTTGGGATGGCAATGGACCAGACACAAAACAGATTTAAGCTGTTCTCTTTCTAGCTGAATAGCTGAATAAGTGCTTTTCAGTGATTCGTGCGACAAATGATGTCAAGATGGCTAAATGTCTTATCTGAAAACCTGGAAAAAAACAAACTCTATTAGTTTAGTGGTTTTTTAGATATTAAACATTTTGTGGGATGGATAATTATGCTGTAACGCGATTTGGACAATTTTGGTTTTTACACCCGGTATATATATATATATATATATATATATATATATATATATATATAGAGAGAGAGAGAGAGAGAGAGAGAGAGAACCCATTGTTTTCATCTCTGTATCAACCCCATTGTTCTTATCTATCTATCTATCTATCTATCTATCTATCCAGCTCGCTCATCTGATTTATGCTGACTCCATGAATCCCAGATTTTACAAAATCAATCATCTAATTCGTCAGGCTTCTCCCTCCCCCCATTCTCATCCGTCATCACCTCTGCTACTTTCTTTTCTCTCACTCTCTTTTCATTTTCACTAGCTCTTCCTTTTCTTTTTATTCACGATTCTCTTTTTCCAGTTCTTTCTTCTTTTTCCTCTCTCAATCTATTAAGCACTTTTCTCAAAGCTTTATCCGCTACGTCAGCAGCCTTCATATGTTTTCGTCCCCGCCTCCCAGACGGCCTCGTTTTCAACTTTTGCTTTCATCCTTCTACAACTCCTCGACCCATCTCCCAACCGATTCTTCTGTACTATACCGTAGTCGGCTTGCTTTTGGATATTATCGACTGCCCTTTAACCTGACGACTTCATTAAATGACATTTTAATTTAGATCGCAAGTAAAATCTCTGGCAAACGAATATATATATATATATATATATATATATATATATATATATATATATATATATGTAAGCAAATATATGGATATAAATCCGACAGTATGAAAGAAAAATACAGAAAAGCAAAAAAATCTGAATATGCATTTATGTAGTATTAATGTTAAAATAAAGTCGACGTCGGACGTTTCGGTCTATTTAAGACCATCTTCATGGACATTTTCATTTAAACATAATTAACATTATAACTTATAAAAATTTAACACAAAAGACGATGGACATAAGAGCCCAAATAATTCACACAGATAACTGAAATTTTATACAGATCAGCGTTCTGTTTAAATATGATCACGTAGTATTTTGGGCCCTATCAAGACTGGAAAACGAAGACTGTACAGCTCCTGTTCATATATGGCTCTTATGGCAGCAGTACTTCATTTTTGGTCTGATCTGGCTCTTGTAAAGGTAGAGGATATTGCGAATAGTCAGGTACTTACTGGAGCGGTACAGAGAACCATTCTCCACCCTCTTTAGCAAAAAATCGTATGTACGTGTTTCACTTGAGGTCTAGGTTGAGTTTAAGTTCCAATAGGCGCTCAAGGCACGTTGGGGTGGGGGGCTTCCCTGAGGGAGCTTCTGTTTATAACTATTGGGGATAGTTCTGGACCCGATAAACGATGATGGAATGTAATTAGTTTGGTTTTAAAGGCATTGAATGTGACCATGTTCCCCCGTCCCACTGAGCTGTTAGAGCTAGGTCATATGAGAAATCAGCAGCCAAGCTCTGGTCATTGAGGGTTTTGCAGGTGCACCCATATACCGTTGTATCATCAACATTGATATTCAAAAATGAGCAGATAATATTCTTAGTCATATCATTTATATAAAGTAGAGTGTTGGCCCGAGAAGCGAAACATGGCGACACCTGCGTTGATGGTTAGGGCCTCGGAAGACTGGCCATTAAAACTCCAATCAGGGTTCGACTTTATAATTGAGAAGAATCTTTCAGTGATTCCATAGCTAAAGTGACTATGCAGTGATCCTTTATCATCTACTTTGTCAAAGGCCTTTGAAATATCTAATGCGATCGTCATTGAGGCGTATTTGTTGTCAGTAGCTCACTGATTCTGTGAGTAATAGTAGTTAGGATATCAGCAGTGGATCGGGAAGATCGAAATCCGTACTGCTTGTCGCTCAAGATGTTGTTCCTATTGAGGAGATCAACAACCTTCATGGATGAGCGCTTACCTACGTTCTTGAAAACCTGGGATGCACTTTCCACAGACTTGAGAAGGATCTTTCCTTCAAGCAGAGGTTAAATAATTCCACTAAGATCGAAGATCGTTCCGGGTTTATTTTCTTAAGGATAATCACTGGAATTTTGTCTGGACCAGTGGGTTTCTTAGGGTCTTTACCGCTAATTTTCTTTCTTTTTAAATATTCTTTCTCTTTGTTCTTTTGTCTGTTTCTTTTTTTTTTTTCTCTCTTTCCTTCAAATTTATATCACTTTGCCTTTTCTCTTTCGTTTTGGTTGCTATTTTTTACTTCTTACTCTCCTTTTTTTCTCCCCCATTTTTAAGCGATGAAGCGATACGGCACTTTCGCTCATTTCCAATGTAAACAACGTCTTTCTCTCGTATATAGTTAAGTATTTCCTCACTGTAGTGTTTTAGGAAGAGTTTTCTTTGCCAGAAAGACCAATGGCCGAGGCGGATCTTAAAATGAGAATCTATTTTACAGGCACATCGTCACAAAATAAAATAAATAAAGGGATGGGGGTCAAAATCAGATGATAAGGCCGGAGCCAATAAACCAGATATTATGGGTATATAGCAGGATAGACTGGGTCTTATAGCCTTGGGTGGCAACCGGTCTAAGAGAAAATATCTCTGAATTCAAAACTATATATAACCCTGACGTAGCACATACAATACAGCTAAAGAAAGGATCGTCCACATTGGCTCGATGATCCCGACTACTGTTCGAATATATATATATATATATATATATATATATATATATACGTAATATCTAATTTTCCTATATGGCAAAGTGTACTGGACAGTTCCCTTTACGGAAGCAGAATGGAGTAATGGAGTAATGCGCTGAAGAATCGGTAGAGCCGAGTTCGAATTCCAGTCGATTCCATTATCCTCTTCTTCTTATACCCCCTGTATGAGTGGCAACCAGTCTTGGAGAAAGTAACTGTGAATTCAAAACTTGCGTAGCATGTTTTAAAGATTTGCAGCATTATGCGGGGATAGAATTTGCACACAATTTCACACCAGGGTAAAGAAGCTTGGTGCAGTATTGACCTGAACTTACTCCCGGTCACCGAATTCAGAGTCACGCCACGTAGCAGCTACACCCGACTTTGAAAGCGTGGGACGATAAATACGAGAAGAAATCGACAGTCACCCCAGTCTAGAATGGGAGATATTCACTAACCGCCTCACCAGCTGAATAGATAGATAGATAGATAGATAGATAGATAGATAGATAGATATGAAGAGACTGAGACAGACAGACAGACAGATAGATAGATAGATAGATGTCATTTAATGAAGTCGTGAGTGTAAAAAGTAGTCGTTAATATCTAAAAGCAAGCGGACTGCCGCGTAGAATCGGTTGGGAGATAGGTTGAGAAGTTGTAAAAGGATGACAACAAAGGCCCAGTCTAGAATGTGAGGTCAACGTTTCGAACGAGGGGCGAAATTTATTGAAAATTTATAAGAGTTAATCGTCATTATGTGTTTATTTAAATCTTCTGCCAAGTCAGTCATGACTTAAAAGAGACATGATCGCCCAAGCGGATTTCACGTATTACACTTAACTGGCTCTATAGTTTATAGATATTTATTTATACATTTAAAAAAAAAAAAAGAAGGTTTTCATTTTTTTTTATACAATTGTAAATGTATCGAGATAGAGCCGAGTTCGAATTCCAGTCGGTTCTATTATGGTAAAGGTATGAATCCTCTTCTTCTTTTCCCTCCTCTATGGGTAAACTCTATGGATGGCAACCGGTCTAGGAGAAAGTAACTCTGAATTCAAAACTGTATGTATCCCTCGAGTGGCACATGCTATATAGCTAAAGAAACGTTCGCATTGACCTGATGATCCCGAGTATGGTCGAATACAAGTAAGTAATTCATTGCTTTTATGGTTTTGTAAATATAAAACTATCTAATAAATATATAAATATAAACAATCTAATACATAAATAGTGCTTAATCTTCTTCTTCTTGCGGCCTCAGCCGAGATTGAACTCACCAATACTTTGATTGGTGTAGTTCATAATCTTGTCAAATAGCTGAATTCTTGATGCTTTACTAGGGCTATCAAGGATGTTTTTATCGTGACACCAGCACTAAAAGGATTGCCAACCAAGGCTCAGAGAGACTCCATTCACCCTCCTCTAAAAGCAGGTTTGAATTCAGAGTTTTCCTTCTCCTAGACCAGTTGCCATCCAAGACTATAGAACCCAGTCTGTCCTGCTATTTACCCATAGCTGAAGGGAAGAAGAAAGAGAATTCACACCTTTCCCAAGGGTGTTAGCACGTAAGTGAATATAATGAATTCGATTGGAATTCGAACTCGGCTCTCCGATTCTTCAATCCAAGCCGCTATCCATTACTCCACCGTGCTTAATATTTGGCAAGAGGCTACGCGGAGGCCCAAAACGACGTTTCAAGAATCACTTGAAGACGTCCCAGACACAGGCCAACATTGACACTGAGACAAGGGGAACCGTCGCTGCAAATGGGTCTTTCTGGTGTAGGACCAGCCAAGGGGGAACAAGACTTTTGAGTCCAACCGTCAACAGGTAGAGGATCTACGACGTGCTGCCAAGAGGGCCCGACCAGCCCAGTCCAGCCCAGTCCAGCCCAGACCAGTCCAGCCCAGACCTGTCCAGCCGCGTCCTCCGCTCATACCCCTCTGTGACTCCTGTTCAAAAATCTTCAGGAGTAGTCTGGATCTTCACAGCCACCTCCTTCACCGCTACTAGAGGGGTAAAAAGAGAATAAGGAGAGAGGGTGACGATCCCCATGTTCGGATGCAGATGTCGACAAATATTTTTGCTGTAAATTCTCCAGAAAGAAGAAAATGTATAAATGCAGTTTTATACGTTTAGCTATAAGTAAAATTTTTAGAAATAGCTTTTTAAAACAATAAAAATGAATAAAATTTAATAAAATAAATTAAAAATTACTGCACACAATAAAATCGGTGTCAAGGGAAAAACCGTCCTTTTGACACAACTTTTTTTTCTTTTTTCGTTTTTTAAAACTTTTTTCAAAATTTATAATAGCAGTTACTCATCGTTATATGTGTATCTAAAGTTTCTTGTTATATTGTTCACAGTTTTATAAATTTATGAATAAAAAAAAGATTTTTAAAGCTATTTCTTTATAAGCGTGCTACTAAATTCACATCTAGGTCACACCTGATTACTGTTGAAATACTTATTTTATCCTTTTATCTCTTGGTGAAAAGATTAAAAAAAATTATTACAATCCCTAAAATATTTTCCGGCTTTAATTAACCCACAAAAGGTTGATAAGCCATTAAAAAAAAAAAACTAAAGAAGGATCTGTAATAATCGATCCTGGCCAGACATCTCACCTTCAGTCAGTTTCTCATCAGCGTGGCACGGCTTCCCTCTGTCTTTTCTACAAATATTTTCACGGCAACTGCTCTGACAAGCTTTTTTCCTTGGTGCCTTGACTATAGGAATTTACGCGTGCTACTAGATTGGCATCTAGGTCCCACCCTTTTATTAAATGCTTATACAACCGCCGCTTCTATTCCAACAGTTTCTTTTCTCGCCCTTCCTGCCGGTGAAATTCCCTTCCGTTTGCTTGCTCCCTTCATAAGTACAATCTTCAAAAAATTAAATCAATCAAAAATTAAGTCAATCGCCATCTTCTATCTTCTTGAATATCATTAATCTTTTGTCCTTT